GAGCTCAGGAAATCAGCACGCAAGTGCAGGCTGTGAATCACGTGGTGCTGGAGAGTTTCTGCCTCGAGAAGTGGTTAAATAACCTTCAAGAGGACTTTAGGAAACTATTAAAAGGCTACAGGAAGAGCATGCTCAAAGTTTTCAAAGCCAAGTATTCACAAGATACTGTGAAATACCCTCAGTCATGCTACAGTATGATTGAACATAATGCATTTAGAAATATAGGAACAAATCATAGGTTTATTCCATGCTGAAAAGAGAAGAGAGAAAATAGGTTTCGGCTATGAAGCCTTCTTCAGGTGTCATATTTAGAAATATATGCAACGTTTATCGAAGTATGTTGTCGTTTTACAAACAATAATTACAGTCATACAAGTCTTTAGTTTTTTGTTTGCAGTGAAAAAAAAATGAATGTATACCTCAAATGGACATGATTTCTGTCAAATAAACTTTTTGCTACAATACGCCAAAAGTCTGAGTGAATCTGGAAGCTACAGTAAAGTGCATTTGTTCAGTAATATTAAATGTATATTAAGATTTCACTGCATATAGTTTTTAAAATATATCTATTTTTAATTTTTATTTTGAAAATATGTTATATTTCTTAATCACGGTATATGCAGTATACTATATTCATATATTGTACAAATGGGATATGAACTATGAATAATAAAAAAAATACTTCTGATACATACCTGTTAAGCAAATTCCTTTAGTGCTGTTACAGAGATCCACCAAGACTCTGACCTGTTGGACAGCGCATTGACAGAGGCTCAGTGGCTAATTCTAACTGCACATCTTCAGGATGGGCTGGAAAGCCCTGTTTGCTTGAATGCAAAACCAGTACCCACATCAGTTCTGCACTCATTTCAATCACCCCTGCAAACTGTGAAGTAACTTTTTCCGAACAATCATAATTTATTCTCAGACGGTGCTTTCAGGGATGAATACATTTAAAATGTTTTAAATGCAATCGGGGGTGCAGACAATACTCTTTCCACTTATTGTTGAATAACTGAATACTATCTTAAGATAAGATATTGACCTCATTTTGAGACCTACTATAAGTGATCAACTGTATTATTTGTTGTATGGTAATGGAAATGGGCCTTTTTATTGCAGTTGAACTTGTTTTGTGTAATAAAGTGCATACATTTGACTAATAAAATCACAGCATTGATATCTTCCATAAAGAATGACTTAGGTAACACTTATGTATATTATAATCTATGACATCCTTTTATGTAATTTTCTGTAAATTAAGCTTACCATCAAACACAAAGCCTGTTCTGTGCAGTTTACAATGGGAAAATTTGGTTTCAAAGAGTGTGAATGAATTTAACGTGTTTTCCTCATAATTGGTCATTGTCAGACATCACTTCTTTTCAGCAAGTGTCTAAAGTGTGCATTAATTCTTTGTGAAATATATATTGTACAATGCTATTCTTCCAAACACTGTGCTGTGTAGGTTTCACCTCATTCAAGATGTATTATTATTATGTATAGATCACATGAGAGCCCTGATTATACCTCATTACGTGTATAACGCAAAGCTTCACATTTGAAACGTTTATTTCCTTTTCTTATTTTCACTTTTCACCACAGACTCAACCTCCATTTGTGTTTTTAAATTTACACACTGATGCAGCTTCCTATTGAAACCATTGCTTATTACAAAGGGTCACCTTATAAAGAGTCTGCACTTTATAAATAAGACAGTGACCATTATTAACAAGAAGAAAAATAAAGGTCTTGCCATCGTTGAGGCTTCAGTCTGAGTAAAAATTGTGAGTGAAGCAACAGAGCCAAAACACTGACTGACACTTGTCTGACATAAGCCAGGCAAGATACTTGATCGAATCTCTGAGAGCCATAGATTCAAAAAACTACACAACAGCCAACTGGCATGTTAAGAACATAAGAACAGTTACAAATGAGAGGAGGCCATTTGGCCCATCTAACCATTTAGTCATGTGGTTTGGAGCTGATTGATTTTTTGAAAGAAACTAAGGTCTCGGGTTCAACAACATGACTAGTTTTTTTTTTTCCACTAATTCAGTTTTGTAACACACTTAAGTTACAGATAGGGGCACCACATAAAAAATATCAGACTGCGACCTTGAAGCAGACATGCTTATTAAAAAAAAAAATAGAAAAGAGAATGAAGAAGAATGAGAGGTGAAAGAGACAATGAATTAGAAAGCACCAGAAGAGAGGGGTGATGGACAAAATGTGTCACAATTCAACCTTTTTATTAAAAGAACTCTGAAAAGTGAATCTAAGCTCAATAAAGTAAGTTTGGATAGTTACCGTAACTGTAGATTTTCTTAATTTCCATTTTATATTTTATATTCCATTTTATATCCGCTTCATGGGACTGTTTTTGGGCAGCGGAGCACTTTTAGCAACAGACTGCTCCAGCTACGGTGTTCAAGGGAACGTTTCCACACGTCTTTCCTCCCGGCAGCTGTCAAGGTGTACAGTATAACGCTGCCCTAGGCTGCCCTCGTCTATGAACAGCATGTTGCTCCATTGTACTTTTTGGACACTCAATCTGTATATACCTATGCACATTTTTCACATATTTTATTGTTTTTACAGTGACTATGATAATATTTTTCACACACCTATGTATTTATTTTTATTTATTTATTTTATATTTATTTTGTATTACTGTATGTATTCAAATTTTTTGTCCATCCTGATGTCTGATTTTTTGGCTTGTCTTGGGCTGCTGTAACACATCAATTTCCCTTTGGGATCAATAAAGTCTTATCTATCTATATTAAGAGTTCATTTATGTAGGTGTGTTATTCGTCAAGAAACTTTAGCACAATCAGACTCACTGGGACCATGGAGTACGTCATCATCATCAGCATGTCCTCTTGCTCAGCTCTGATGTGTGTCTCCCGCAGCTCCTGGCTCCTCTTGTTGCGTGAGTACTGGTACTGCCCAGCGTCCTCAGCCTGGTCCCGGGTCACCTCTGAGAGAAACTCCACCACTGAGCTCTTGGAGAATTCCTGCAGACGAGCCCCCAGGTCAGCCAGCTCACCGGACAGGCGGCCGTGCTGCAAGATGAGAAAGATCATCCCTGCGCAGTTCAGCATAGTCAGCACACCCAGCCCACAGAACAGGACACGCAACTTCCAAGAGCCGCTCGAACTGCTGGCTTTCATGGCTCAGCTGGTCCTTGAAGCTGCACCAGTCTCTAAATCTGTCTTAGAGGAAAACTGAGCAAATACGCCTAAAACACAAAACTGTCCCAACTTTTGTAGAGTTGGAGGTTGGAATAGAAATGCAGCCTTTGTGCTCCCGAAAGTCAGACAGTATTAATGTTGCGCAATCCCAGTGTTCTGGAAAGAACTGTAAGCCTGTTCAGGCACCTGATTTATATGCGGTAGTGCCCATTTGTGCACAGTGACTATGGCTGTGGGCTGTTTTTGACATAATTCACATTCATAGAGCAGTTAATGATGTGGAAGAAGTTCAGAGGGAGAGGGTCTGGAGACAAACGTTCTGATGCTTCTGAACATTGACTTGACCTACTCTAGTGCTGACTTCTAGTCTGAAAAGATCCATGTTAAAAAAATATTGTAACAGAATATATTCACAAGACTTCTGGGGCCTAACTGTCAAGAATTCTGGAATGTCATAATGGTTGGAAAATTATATTTTAGGGTATACCTCCCATTTAAAGCTTTGTCTTCACCATACCCAGTTAGCCTTCAAATCTGAGCATTTGGTAAATAATATACTGTGTGATTTTCTCAGTGGTTACCAAAATAAGATAGTGAAACACTAATTTTACTATTTATTATACTGTTCGAAGACATCCCACATTCCCTCTGTATACATTTCTTTTAATAGTAACGATTGAAACCATAAATTAGTAATAATACTAATAACTGGATTAGTGGTACAATACCAACTATTGAAATATCTTTGTCTTCTATGCAACATCAGTTTAACACATCCAGATTTTGATCACTTTAAACATGTAATGAAAACCTGTTTTTTTTCACAGTATGCAATTTCAGAAAAATTATGTTCTGTTCTTGTTTTTAACTCATAAAACCTGTATGGATAGTATTGCATGCAAAAGACAGACATACTGTACACTCAGATAGATCCACTAGCCAAAGATCATCAAGAGATAGACCAGTAGAACTCTTTAGCTGGTATTAATTTCACCTCAACAGATTTAGCTGAGGAGAGGGTAAGAAAGTGGAAGAGTGGAAGAATTACATTATTGAGCTCCTTTCTTTAAGTGACTGTGTCGGTTCTCTTGGGAGAATCAGAAGATTACTGTAAGTTTGAGAGGAATCTTAACAGTGTTTTCAGGTAACATTGGCATTTCTGATGGTATATCACTTATCCAAACCAGACATTACTCAGTAAAACAAATATTGGTTATTACATGTAATTCTATTTCAAGATATAGAATATAGGATATAGGCTGAAGATATAAAAATGAACCATTTAAGCCTTATTTATAATGCTTCTTCCTGCACGCTCAGAAGAATTAACATCTTACTAAAAAACTTGTAACTTGACTGGCATCCTCTGAAATGCTTGAGGTCCTGAATGTAACTGATTACTTTGCTGAGAGCCTGTTCTTGACAGCAGATTCCCAGCTGACAGAGAAGAGAAGCCTTAGCCAACCTGCAGGCAGCTGATACAATGGCTCTTAAAAATGACCTCTTTCTGTTACTCTGATTAGTTCTCTTACCAAACTAACCAACTGACATTGTGCTTGAATATAGCAGTGTCATGCACAGCAAAATGACAACAGAGATCAATATGCTTGCTCAACACACTTTCCATCACAAACCTCTAGTGTTTTATATTTAATGAATAGATCTTACAAATCATCCACTAAATCAATTAGGAACTGTCGTATCTACTTTGAGGCAAATGCCTACTCCATATACTGTATATACTCAGCAGTGTTTGCATTATATGCACAGGATGCTGTTATAAAATTACCTTATTCACAACTGTTTAGGTGATTTATGTCTTAATAAACATATCACCACTTGTACTTGTATATTAATGTTACAGGTATGGCCCTGAAGCAGAAAGCCTACAGGGAGCCCAGCTGCTGGTCATTTCTAAACTGAAGAAAACAGAGGCTGAACTGGAACAAGCTTTAAATTATATTCTTCCTTTCTAATAAACTGTGTTTATAAAGAGAATATTGATTCAGTGCCAGAATGTGGCATTTCAGGAAACAGCCATTAGAAACAGACAGCAGAAATTTGATTATCATGATGGTGGAAAAACTTGGTTGTATTAGATATTTTCAAAATGAAAATGAATGAGTTTATGGTACCGATGCTGTTCACGGCTGAAGGTCCTGAGTGACTAGTAGAAAGATGTCTGTAATTGTCGAATGGGCACTCTCTGTCGATGTCTCCTGTCTTGTGCTTGATTGTGTTTGTTTATGTGAGAAGTGGGGGTGAAGTGGGCTTGAGGTTGATGATATTCTTTCAGATCTTTTTGCCTTGAGGCTGTAGGTCAAGGGAAGCCAAAGAACAATAATTCAAACAAAAGGAATAAAGCAGGCAGGATGCAATCTGAAATAGCAGCATGTGCTGACTGCGTCCAGTGAGTACCTTTGATATACTTCACACTAGAAATTTAGTTCTTTAATACTGTTTGGGGGTTAATATCCAAAATCACTATGGCCCACACACATCTGATCAAAGCCTCATTCATCCATCCACCCATTTTCCAACCTCTTTATTTGATACAGGGTTACAGGGGAACCAGAACCTATTCTGCGAAGCAGTGTGTGCAAGGCAGGATACACTCTGGACAGGATGCCAGTCACAGACACAGACACAATCACACCAGGGCCACTTTCCCATAAAATACCAGTAATATAAAAATACCAGTATATTTTTTGGACTGTGGAAGGAAACCCACATTAACACAGGGAGAACATACAAACTCCACACAGACAGCACCCCATGAATTGAACCCAGGTCTAGGAGGTAGCAATGCTAACCACTGTGCTACTGTGTCACCCATCAAAACCTTATCCCACCCATTATGTCTTTACAATTTAATTGGTCTACATTTCAATTTTAATTTTAACAGCATGTTAAAAGGCAACCAATTGTCCCCCTGTTCTCTTAAGGGTTACTCTTTTACTGTCCTACAAAGCTGTTCTGGAAAAAATCTCCTAGTTACTCTGTGGTTTCATTTTTTATTATATTTACAGAGAAAAGAAACATCACTTACAAGTACAAATCTATGAAGTTAAGTTAGTTCACCATGTTGAGTAATATTCGTCATCAACAGGCTGTTCGCTGACAAGCAGGTTCACAGGTCTCACTAATATCTGATAGTGTGTTAGTCTGGCGAGTAATAACATAATATTGTTCGATATTATGTATGCATGCTTTTCCCCCAGTTGATTATTTTCCAATGTGAGACTACGTTTGAAGATTTGGAATTGAGTTATTCAGGAGACAAGATCACTGGTTCCGGTAAACTGTGGAAGTATTTATTCTGTTGTAATTGCAGCTCAGTCCTGACTTTTTTAAGGCAATTTGTCTTGATGTAGCAAAGTGTCCTTTAGGGGTAACAATTAAGGCACCATACAATCAGAACCAAGTTGAATCTATAGCACCAGATACTACACTGATAGTAAATCCTTCCCATAGTTCACTTTGACAAAAATAATTACTCTAGTGCTCCATTATACATACTGTACAAACTATTCTTTTGAAAACCTTTAAAATCGACTCGCCAAAAATTATATTCCAACACAATACAACATCCATGCATCCTAAAGTATAACATTATGTTTGATATGTAAATTAGATTTCCAGAAAACTTTCTAGCATATAGGGCTGGGATCCTGAGTTTGTAACAGTGGCATCTTAATAAGAACATCTTCAGTTTGTCACATAGATAATACCACATTATAAGAAGCACCTCGAACTTTACACTGAGAAGCATGTTTTGTTTTAAAAAATATTTGACACAAATTGAGGGGAGCACACAGTGGCATGATGGTTAGCATTCCTACCCTCACAGTGCTGGGGTCCTGGGTCCAATTCATTTCTGGGGTGCTGTCTGCATAGAGTTTGTATGTTTTCATGGGTTTTATCTGCGTGCTCCGATTTCCTCCCACAGTCCAAAGACATAGTGGTAGGTAAATTGGTTTCTGGGAAATTCGGCCCTTTTGTGAGTGTGTGCATGTTAGTGTCTGAGTGAGCCCTGCAATGGACTGGAGTCTCACCTGGGATCTACCCTGCCTTGCTCCCATTGCTCTATGGGATAGATTGTGGCTCCCCCACAACTCAGAACTGAATAAAGCATTTAGAAAATGGATGGATGATGCAAACTATGAAATGAAAGCACTGCATACAATCTAAAGTTTTGGTACTCTGTAGTGTTAAAAAGAAGTGTTAAGGAGAAATATGAATTTGGAATCAAAATTTTCATTTTGCAAAGCATGTTAACTAACCTTTAAAATATTCAGCTCTTTAACAATATTATGCACATGCTTGTACATGGAAGTAAAACATTTAAGTGAGCTGTTTAAACAAAAACAGAAATATGAGGCATGAAGTTTCCTTATTTGTCCTGTGACAGGACATTCACAGCAGAAACAGAATCAGTGAGAAAAGAGAAAAAAGACTGTTTAGAACTAAACCCAGCAGAAAACAAATTAACCACTCATTGCAGTTTGAATGGAGTAAAGTAAATGCTGTATCAAATGACAAATGTAAGTGGACTTTTAGTGGTGAGATTCTTACACCAATATTAGCCATGATTAAATGTCCGCTTTGTTCTTTGATTGCTAAACTTGTGGGAAAGCACATGAGGGCAATGAAATTAGGTTGTAACGTTAGTGCGCTAAAGCATTTAGACAAAAATCACTTCCTATATTCAGAACATACAAAAGCTTTTTGCCTGTTCTGGCATGTAATCTTTGAGTGAAAGCTTTTCCTTCCTGGTCTCACATTTCTTATTAGCCTCATCTTAAAAGACCAAGCAATAACATACCACATTCCTGTTGTCTTCTGGCCTAACCTATCAGTCATTATCAGCAGGATCTGGGTGGGTTTTGGAATACTGAATGTTTTCATCTCAATTCATACCCCTTACCATTTTCCCAACCTTAGTCCTTACCCAAATTTAAATATCCTTCAAATTTGAGACCTAGATAAACAAGTACATAATGTGCCAGTAATGTCACAAGCCTTGTGCTATTTGTTGCAGGTGTCATTGTATGAGTTGTCTATGAGCTGTTATCTTTATATTTGTAGTAAATATGACAATTAAATATTATCATAACAGAGAATGACACTTAAGAAATGTTATAGCAAGCACACTATAGGGCCTCTTTCATGTTA